CAAAGTAATCAATCTGACTGTGTCGTCCCACGCTGCGACAGCACAGCATGCACACAGAAAAGCCAGTGCACCAAAGACCTCACCAGGTGACACTTCTGTGTTTCATTTGCAGCAGCACAACAGGAAGGTTCCTTGTTGACTGTTGACTCTGTTGACTTGGTGCTGGAGATGCGTAGGAAGCCAAGGAAGCCATGTGAGCTCTGTGCTGGGCTCAGCTCAAGGGTTTGGCCACTCAGCTGGCCTCCTGCCAGGCTGGAGTGAAGCTGCACTGCATGTGTAAGGGGAAGATTCTGCAGATAGGCAGTTGCTGGGAGGAAGCCAAGCTTCGGTTTTAGCAAAGAGCTGACCCCACACTATGTAGCTTGAGGGACCCAGCCTATGGTTGATCCTGATATCAACTGCAAAAAACACCACGGCTGGCTTTTCTCAGTGTCCCAGATCGACAGCATCACAGCCACCATCACGGATAAACCAGGTTTGAACCACAAGATACTGAGACTCTTTAATAGGCACAATTGTATATCACACCAGTTACACCCATTCGAGGCTTGAGAGGTGGGCCCACGCAAATCTCATGAAGTTCAACCAGCCCAAGTGCAAGGTCCTGCACCTGGGTTGGGGCAATCCCAGGCACAAATAGAGGTTGGGCGGAGAATGGACTGAGAGCAGCCCTGAGGAGAAGGACTTGGGGGTGTTGATTGATGAGAAGCTCAACATGAGCCTGCAATGTGTGCTCACAGCCCAGAAGGCCAGCCATATCCTGGGCTGCATCAAAAGAAGCTTGGCTACGAGGGTGCGGGAGGTGATTCCACGCCTCTGCTCTGCTCTGGTGAGAACCCACCTGGAGCACCATGTCCAGCTCTGGAGTCCTCAGCACAGGAAGGACATTGACCTGTTGGAACAGGTCCAGCAGAGGGCCATGAAAATGATCAGAGGGCTGCAGCACCTCTCCTATGAAGACAGGATGAGAGAGTTAGGGTTGTTCAGCCTGGAGAAGAGAAGGCTTCGGGGAGACCTTAGAGCAGCCTTCCAGTATATGAAGGGGGCCTATAAGAAAGCTGGAGAGGGACTTTTTACAGGGGCATGTAGTGATAAGATGAAGGGTAATGGCTTCAAACTGGAAGAGGGTAGATTAGATATCAGAAATAAATTTTTCACTCTGAGGGTGGTGAGACACTGGAACAGGTTGCCCAGAGAAGCTGTGGCTGCCCCATCCCTGGAGGGGTTCAAGGCCAGGCTGGATGGGGCTTGGAGCAACCTGGTCTGGTGGGAGCATTTTCATGTGTGGTAGAGCAGAGCAATGCCAAATATCCTACCAGATTTTCCCTTGATAGTTTCTAAATGAAAAAGGACAGCAAAAAAACTCAGTCTGAAAGTCTTTGAAAGACTTTAGACCCCATCAGTCTTCCACAGTTATTTCTGTTTACTGGGCAGTCGTGCACGAGCATTTTCTCTATCGTAGCGCTGTGAAAATCCCCCTAAAAGGTCTGTGTTGTGCAGCAGCCAGCTAAACCAAAGCCGGACTCTTTTCTCCCTTATTCTTTGGACAGTCACTGTCCCCAGAAGGAAAACGAAGAGTGCAGACAAGGCATCTCGTATGCAGCTTAACCTCCTTAAACATGCTATCTAAATAGCACCCAGTTGTTAAAAGGCAGAATGAAATATGCCCCAAATGCCCAATCTAAACTCACCAAGACTCAAAGAAACATTTCCATTTACTTCACTTGGATATAGACAGAGGTTAGAGGGTTTCTGCCTTCTGCTATAAATTGTTCTTTATCTGATCTTTTTTTTCTGCATGGATATGACATCAGTAAAATACAACTCGGGCCTAAATTTATATTGCTGTATGTACTGCTTGTATTATCCCTTCTGAATACAGACTAAACTTACTTGAAATGTTTGGTTTGGTTTTGCCACCCACAGAAGCTCTAACTCTGTTTTTATCTCTGGTCACAGAAGACCTCGTAAAAAGTTTCTGAAAGCATCTTCCGAAGTGAAAGCTTGTCACCAGTCTCCAGCTTGCTAAGGCAATCATTGTGGGTGATGTTGATTGGGACCATGTCACTGAGACAAGCATGAAGCAGCAGTGACTCTAAATATTAATGTTTTTCAGGTCCATCTGGAAGATTCAGGCGCACAGAGATGTGTTGTCTTTCATTTCTCTATGGAGGCCCACCCAATTTTCAGGGCTTCACCGTAAAATCTAGTTGGCAAATGCATATGTGCCCCTGGATATCTTAAATCCTTGCAGTGTGTGCAAGTAAGCATCACAGAGATAATCAGACAGATATCTGACTGCACAGTTGACCACACTCAAATGAAAAATGTGATCTGGTGCATCACAAACACCACAGAGGAGCCCACCAGTTTCCACAAAACCTCCAGTTCTTCAGGACAGAGAGCACTCTCCCCTTTTTCTGTCCCACATCTCTGAAGGAAGAATGGTCACTTACACAGAGAAATCACTTCTAGCCATTTCAGAAACCTTGTTCCCAACCTTCGTAAATTGTTTCCTTTGGGTTTGGTTTCTATGCACAGGAGAAGGATGAAAACAGGGGTTTGGAGTAGTACACAGACTGGGTCCAGCCACGCTATGTCCAGCCAGCCTGAGCTGCTGCAGACACAAATTTCACCCATTCTCCCCTATGGATGGAGGCTACCAAGTTATATTCAGCCTCTTCTTCCCCAGTTCCTTCTGGCCCCTGAGAATGAAGCACTTTTGACAGAGAGACACTTCCCCAGAAACCACCTCCAGCAGAACTGAACTAACTCTGAACTAACTTTTCACTCCAGAATGAAAATACATGCCAAGCATTTATTTTATTTTCCAGAATAAATGTTTCATTTTTGATACAGCCATCAAAATTCAGTTATCTGCTTTCCTTAGGTTGTAACCCAGTTCCTCCCTGTCCTACCTTTGCCCCCAGCAGTTCAAAAGCACTGACAAACCCTTATGGGGTGCTGTAAGCACCTCATCACGCTGGATTGGTGGAAGTTGATTGGGATGTTGCCTGAAAGCTTAATAAATCTGGTCGTAATTGACTTTCTCGGGTTCATACATAGCATCTGGACAGACACATGGAGCAGGTCTCACAAACAAGGTCTAGGCTGGTAATGGAACAGTGGGATCTTCGTCCTTCATCACTTAAAGCCTGAGCAAGGGCACTTGATAAAGCTCATACACTCCTTTGTATCAATGATCTTTGCCATTAAGAAACTCATGCTCAAAGCTCCTCAAATCACCATCTCATTTTCTTTAGCATTCTCAGTGTTTTGTAGCACCATTGGTGCCAGAATGGTCTTTCCCTCATATAACCATCCCCTTCTATTGGGCTATATTACTGCTCCTCCTTCATATAAATACCTAACCATTTCACACGTATGCAAGTCAATATATGTGTAGCACCCAGGGTGGGTATTACCTCCACTGGACAAGTAAGGAACAAGCACCTGCTGCTTTTTCCATCATCCACCAGCCATCTCATTCCTGTGCCAGAGCCTGGTCACCCAAGCCAGTAGGGTTTGGGGCAGTTTGTTGATTTCTTGTCCCTCCATGACACATTAGCACAATGATTAAGGTGCACACCCAGACCACAAGTCCAAGAGATGAAACTTCTGGACATGAATGGAGTCTGGCAGTTACAAGAGCTGAACCCACATCTTCTCACCAACATACAAGTGACAGAATCTGAAAGCAATCACTTCACTTGTTAAGGTTTTCTTTCCTCTTAGCTGCTATTCTGACTGCACTGGTCAGTCTCTGCTTCCCCCACCAGCTCATCGCAACACAGCTACACACACACAGCGAAGACTCCAAGCACACCTATGCATACAGAATCATAGAATCATCTAGGTCAGAATCAAGATCATCCAGTCCAACCATCAACCTAACACTGCCAAAACCATCACTAAACCATGTCCCCAAGCACCACGTCTACCCATCATTTAAATACCTCCAGGGATGGTGATTCAACCACTTCCCAGGGCAGCCCGTTCCAATGCTTGATAACACTTTCAGAGAAGAAATTTTTCCTAATATGCAATCTGAACCTCCCCTGGTGCAACTTGAGGCCACTTCCTCTTGTCCTATCGATGCTGAATTAGGAGAAAAGACCGATCCCCACCTCTCTACACCCTCCTTTCAGGTAGTTGCAGAGAGCGAGAAGGTCTCCCCTCAGCATCTTTTTCTCCAGGCTGAACAACCCCAGTTCCCTCAGCTGCTCCTCATAAGGCTTGGCACAGCAAGAAGGATAGATTAATTGAAGGCTGGAGTCAAACACCAACAGCCTAAACTCCCCCAAAACCGAGCTGTGCTGTCTGGTTTGGCCCAGGGGGCAGGAAGCACAGCCTTTCTCACTGGCCATCTCCTAAAATGCCACCGTGTTTTGCTGAGCCACTGACTTGTGAAAGGCAGCGGCCATGCACGGCTGACCTCAAGTCCACTATTTCATATCTGAAAGCAATACAGGGGACAGCAAAGAGAACAGACTGTTTCAGAAGACTTTTTGAAACCTTTGATTTTGCAGCAATGTGGCAGAAACTCTGAGACCCACCCTGCTCTGCTTGGTAGAAACTTTACAGCCCTCAGTTCCTGCCCACCGACCCACCAGCAGAACGCTCTTTGTTCCTTCTGTCTTCCTGCTAATTCCACATTTCCCTGTCCTGACCATTTGTTTCTTCCCTTGCTGATTAATCTCTATTTACAGTAACTAGTAAATATTTTCTTCTGCCTCTTCTCCCCCTTTCGGTATATTTTCAGGAGTGGATTTCCCCCCCTCCCCCATGGGTATTCCGTGCCATAGATGCCTTTTTACAATGACTTTCTCGAGTGATGTCAGAACTAAGATTTTCAAGGCCGGGGTATTCCAGTCACCCTCCTGTCTATAAGCGTGTGCCTGACTCTACAAGTGACATCGCTGGGGAGCCTGGGGAAGTCATGAGCAATCTACTTTCTTTTAACGCGCGCCGCTTGGGACTGTACAGGATATCGTTAGCAACTTCCTGAAGTCTTTGCCGAGCAGCCTGTCGGTGCCACACGCGTCGGAGCACTTCGTCCTCTCCTTTGCAAAAGCCAGAAAAAAAAAGAAAGAAGTAAGTGGGTTTTGTCCCTGGGCAAAGCATGGCTTCTACTTTGCAGTGCTTGGCTTTGCTCTGCTTTGATTACTGCTTCTCCGGGGCGCGCGTTTGTGCTTCAGAAATGCAGACTCTGTTGATGTCTCACCATAGTCTAAATCTCCTTGCGACTGATATAACAGACAGAAAAGTGTTGCTGGGTCTGTATTTACAGTCCATTGCAGTTGATGGATTGCAGTAGAAAGTCTTCTACTTTCTACTTTCTACTTTTCTACTTTCTACTTTTCTTCCTTATGAATTCCCTTTCCCATAAAAAACGTATTTCTCTCTTACAAAAAAATTTTAGTTTCGGTCAGGGATAGATGATAATTACAAAATATGATAGATGACAATTACAAAATTGAAGGATTTTGGCAGGATACAGGTTGCTGTGAGGTTAGATCTAACTGTCACTGCAGAGCACGAGGCACAAACACAGAATTATATTAGAGACACAAATGCCAGGCTTCCTTTGGTAGACCATAAGCAGAATTCACATCCAGCCTTTCCTCTCATCCTTACTCTGCTGGAAAAGCAAGACAGGCATTTTATTGTGATGTTTACCTGCTGGTCTGTAGTGAATAATCAAATACACTACATTCCTTCTTTTTCTCCACCTTTTAATGGCACAGTACTGCTGATCTCTGGCACTCAGAAATGTGGAGATTAAGACATTTTTTTTTGTCAAGTATTTTGTGAGTTGACTTGCTTTTCTGGCACTCCAAGAATACTGGGACCGTGACTGATGCTCTCCTCAGCAAACCAAAAACCCTGCTTCTAAATGAAAGCTGATGTTCCTTTGCATTTGGCACAGCCGTTATTTTGCCCAGTAGCTGCAGCTTTAAGGAGACCACAAGCCTTGCGATAAAGTCACAGATTGGTAACAGTAATCACTCTGTGTTGGTAGATGGGCAGAATGAATCAGTCTGGGTTCCTTCCTTTGGGGCTTTAAAGGATCCTACTTTTGCTTTGAGAGATCCTGAGGTGGGGAGGAATCCTTCCTACGCCAAGTAAGATTTAGCAAAAGGTAAACATCCTACCAGAGCCGGGCTGACCTGTTGACTTGATCAAACTGCATTGTCTCCTGAATTTAGTTTCTCATAGAGTCTTCTTGGTTGGTTTTCTTCTCCCTGTTACCTCCCCCATTTTGTTTACGCTTATGTGGCAATAGAAAGCACTACAGATTATAGCTACTGGCTTCTCTTGAAAGTTTAATGTAAGGTTTGATACTCTGCCTAAGACCAAGCAGCATCTGGGCTTAGTTTTAACCTGCCCTTTCATAATACCATTTAGATCAGCTGCTGCCTCTAAAACAGCAGTTCCTTAACTTTACTAACCTTATCTGGGGAGAATCCCATCCCTGGAGGGGTTCAAAGCCAGGCTGGACAGGGCTTTGAGAAACCTGGTCTGGTGGGAGGTGTCCCTGCCCAGGGCAGGGGGGTTGGAACTGGATGATCTTTAAAGCCCCTTCCAACGTTAACCATTCTATGATTACATGATTTTATGAAAAAAAAAAAAAAAAGAAAAAAAAAAAAAGGCAGCATTCCTTCTTTTTCTCCACCTTTTAATGGCACAGTACTGCTGATCTCTGGCACTCAGAAATGTGGAGATTAAGACATTTTTTTTTGTCAAGTATTTTGTGAGTTGACTTGCTTTTCTGGCACTCCAAGAATACTGGGACCGTGACTGATGCTCTCCTCAGCAAACCAAAAACCCTGCTTCTAAATGAAAGCTGATGTTCCTTTGCATTTGGCACAGCCGTTATTTTGCCCAGTAGCTGCAGCTTTAAGGAGACCACAAGCCTTGCGATAAAGTCACAGATTGGTAACAGTAATCACTCTGTGTTGGTAGATGGGCAGAATGAATCAGTCTGGGTTCCTTCCTTTGGGGCTTTAAAGGATCCTACTTTTGCTTTGAGAGATCCTGAGGTGGGGAGGAATCCTTCCTACGCCAAGTAAGATTTAGCAAAAGGTAAACATCCTACCAGAGCCGGGCTGACCTGTTGACTTGATCAAACTGCATTGTCTCCTGAATTTAGTTTCTCATAGAGTCTTCTTGGTTGGTTTTCTTCTCCCTGTTACCTCCCCCATTTTGTTTACGCTTATGTGGCAATAGAAAGCACTACAGATTATAGCTACTGGCTTCTCTTGAAAGTTTAATGTAAGGTTTGATACTCTGCCTAAGACCAAGCAGCATCTGGGCTTAGTTTTAACCTGCCCTTTCATAATACCATTTAGATCAGCTGCTGCCTCTAAAACAGCAGTTCCTTAACTTTACTAACCTTATCTGGGGAGAATCCCATCCCTGGAGGGGTTCAAAGCCAGGCTGGACAGGGCTTTGAGAAACCTGGTCTGGTGGGAGGTGTCCCTGCCCAGGGCAGGGGGGTTGGAACTGGATGATCTTTAAAGCCCCTTCCAACGTTAACCATTCTATGATTACATGATTTTATGAAAAAAAAAAAAAAAACTTATTCTGCTCTTTAGCTCTCAATGAGCAAGGCTGATTTTCTTCTGAGGACTGTTCCACAGTTCTGTAGAGGGGACACCACGTTTAAGCAAACGGTCAGTCTGTAGTGACTAGCACACCCTCTCTAGCACACCCTCTGTACAGATTTCTGGCAGAAACTGCAGACAGCTCTTGCAGGTTTCAGCACTTCCCATGCCTCTCGGGGAGACATTGATTTTATAGCCTCACCCTGATCACACAAACAGTATTGCTGTCAAAATAGAAGCGCCCAAAGGCAGCGTTTCACCAATCTCAGGCTGCCCTGACAAAGCTCGGTCCCACTTTGGAGCCGAAATGGAAATCTCGCAGCTTTTTGATTTTGCCCTCCCAGCCGGGTTCCTTTATTCTGACACACAAGAGGCTTCCAACGTGCACACAAGCCAGCGACAAGAGCTGGGAGTGGGGAATGGGAAGAGGGGAAGCTGCAGTTACGAGGAGGGTCGTGCCACTGCCCACATTAACAGTCGTGTCCCCAGTGCCACAGGAAGGTGGATGGAGCGGCGGCTGCAGTCACTGCTGCACCGGACAACATGATGGACAGGTTTCTGTGGCTGCTCTCCGTGACTTAGTGCCTGCTCATCTGGCCTGAGCTCAGCACAAGCTCAGGTTTTTGGGTGCCTTTTCTTGATACCCGGTGCAAACTGATTGTGCTCTGGGTGTGCCACGGGCTGTAATTAGCAATGAGCAGCTCAGTGACGAAACTGTAGTCCCATTTGTGGTTTTTGGGTTTTTTTTTCCTCCTTTTAGCCCTTTTCCCTCCCTGAACAGGCTCAGCCGCCTGTCCAAAAACTTCTGGATATCTCTAACTGTTCCTGGCTCCAGGGTCTCATGCAGAGAGCCAGGGCAGGCCTGGCAGGGTTTAGAAGATGGGGCACCTTCCCACATCTCTCTGCCACATGTTACTGCCTCCTGAATGGGATGTTTAAAAATTACTGCTTTAAACTGAAGCCTTTGGGGGCCAGTGTGTATGGGGGAATGCTTTTTTAGCTTAGACCTGCCTCCTATGCAGGGGCTGTATCGGAGCAGTGAAGGAGAAGATAGTCAAGGACCCCACCGTTACTGGCAGAAACCCCATCATCTCTACAGCTGCTTGCTGTAGAGCACATCGGGTTTGACAGAATCTGTCTCTTAGGCTACTGCTATTTTGATCTTACCTGCTTTCATGAATCAAGGATAATTTTAACTTGGGGTACTTAGTGCAGGCACATCCTACTAAAGCACACCTAAGGTTCAGACCTGGCTGCTGTTGTTGGTGGAGCACAGCATGTGAGAAAAATGTTCTCCAGGGATGAAATACCCCGCTGTGGACCTGAAGTCTGTAAACACAAAGGATTCAGCATTGAGTCTTGGACCTGGAAAATGAAGCAGGTCGTATCAGTGCACAAGTGAGCAGGGCCTGACTGGCGTGGAAAGGTCCAAGAGAAGTGGGAAATTCAGAATAGGGTCTATGGGAAACAATGAATGATTTGGATATCCCTAAAGAAGGACACTTCGGGGAATATCTGGTAGATGGAACTTTTACATCAATATCTTCCCTTGTAGGCTCTTCCCTTGTAGATGTACAAACAGCTGGAAGATTAGGACAAGACACTACAGGAGATTTAGCAGACGTGAGTGGGTTTACAGAGACATCAGAGAGATGTGTAGGTGCAAAGAGGAATCTTTGAGTGTCACAGTTTTTGCTGGTTTATCTAAGGTCTTAAGGGGAAAACCCTGCCACTGGTATGTGAGCTAGCTGGCTACAGGAGGTGACCCAGATGGAAAAAAAAGGAAAATGGTAGTACTCCAGTAAGTTGAAAGTGAATCATGGCACAAGAAGGAACAAAGAAATAGAGTTTCATGGTAAATGGAAAAGAGGGAAACATTGGTATCTGAGTTCAGAGCACTTGCAAATACTATCTTTAACTGCTCTGTTAAAAATAGGATTGTTTCAAGTTTAGAAAGCACTGTGGTTTTCACAAGGCTTTGCAGATCCCACTTGCTGAGACACATTCACTTTAGACAAAAGCAAAACACATTTGAGGGGAAATTAGGTAGAGAGCGACAAGCAATATGTCAGTGAGCCCAAGTCTGGCAGTTCACAACATTGCTTTGCATATTCTTTTGCTCTGTTTTTCCCCAGCAACCTCTTTAGTACTGATGATGCTTCCAGCAGCAGTGCAGCTCCCCCATGACAGCTGCTCCTGTACAGACCCACAAGGGCAGGGCCAAGACCAGTAAGCCCTCCCATGGGAGAGGGTTGATGTACTGTCACAAGGTCAAAGCTCAACACCGTCTTTGCATTTTCCTACTATTGGCCATCCTGTCTACACTCAGTCTTCTCAGTACAGCAAAGCCATACTCTGACTGGGTTATCTCAGAGCCATGAGAGGGGACAACCATATTTTGGGGGTGTAGGAAACGCCTGTGATCTCTGTGACTGTCACTATTGCAAACAAAGGTGTCAGTGCAGGAAGCGGGGGAAGATTGTGTCC